CTTTCCATAGTTTGGTTATTGTTGATAGTACTATAAACTCCAGTGCTATAAACATTGGGATACATGTGCTCTGTTGAATCAGCATTTTTGTATCATTTGGATAAATTCTTAGTATAGCGCAATTGCTGTAGGGTAATTCTATTTTTAATTTCTTTTTTTTTTTTTTAATTTTAATTTTTTTTTTTTTTCAACGAATTTCTTGAGGAACTTCCATACTGTTTTTCAGAGTGGCTGCACCAGTTTGCATTCCCACCAACCTGGGAACTTTTTTGAAAAGCAGACCCTCAGGCCCATCCAAGACTCATTGACCCAGAATTTGCATTTTAATAAGACCCCCAGTAGAGTCAGTGCAAATTGAAATCGGAGAAGGGCCCTTCTGGACCAAAGTTCTCAACTTTGGCTGCAAATCAGAATCACCTGGGGGACTGAGTGTGATTTAATTGGCTTGGGGGGTGTGGCCTCAGCAAGGGGATTTTTAAAAGCCCCAGGTGATGCTAATGTGCAGTCAAGGTTAAGAACTTGGGGACTAGTGCAATGGTTCTTAATACTGGCTGCACATTAGGTTCATCTGAAATTTTAAAAATACATCTCTGGGGTTGACATTTTTAAAAAGCCCCTAGTGATTCCAATGGGCAGCCAAGGTTTAGAACAAGTATAGGAGACCAAACTTGAGTTTTTTGGCCTTGCAATTATTCATTTAACAGTTATTTATAGCACTTTTTAATAATACAGGCAGGGAGGTGGGTATGAGGGCTATGCAACAGTAACCAGACACAGTCCCTGAGCTCAGGGAGTGAGGTGGGCAAGTTACTTCTGAGTCTCAGTTCTGTCATCTGAGGGAGTGGTATAGTGATCAGGGGACTGTCTCTATCACTTTATCATCTTTGGCATAAATTCCTGTCCACACACCTAGCTGACTTCAGGCTTCTAGAGAGGCCAACGCTGATTGGATGAGGGTGAACACCTGATCGAGAAGTGGCCAATCCACGAGCTGACCAAAAGCCTAGCACTTGTGCTGTTAGCAAAGTAATGGTTTGTTTGCTGTGTTCTTGGACCAGAAAATACTGTTTCCTAGAACTAGAATTAGGACTGAGAAAATAAACAAAGTTTGTGAGAATTTGTTTGCTCCCCAGGGAGCTGACCTTTCTGAAAGAGCCTTTCCCAGGATGCCTTGCAGGAAGGTGTAGCACCTGTGAGTAGCCAGCCTGGAGCTACCTGGAGGACCGGATTTGGGCGTGAATGAGTAAGGATGCACTGTGCCTTGCTGGTCTTTTTCTTGTTGTTTTCATAGACTCCCAGTAGCTATGTATTGGAAAGATGATTGGCCTTCACTCTAAAACAACATGCTGGTAAACATATATTGTCTACTCAGGGTCTCACATGGTATTAGGGATGTTTAATTCCCCTTGGCTTTGCCCAGAAAATGGGATTTTCCACTCATTCCGAGGAAACTGGTGCCAAGGAGGCATCTTCTCAAGTTCACCTGGTAAATCCAAGTCTGCCTGATATCACAGCTGTGCTGTTTCCATGATTTTTGATTTGTCCTTCGTTCTCATGCTTTCTACAGATGTTGCTCAGGAGGAGTTCCTCAGGACTTCTTTTTCTTGATAAGGTAAGTTTTTGGAAAAGTAAGAATGTGTGCATCATCGTTATGACTTAAGAGATTCCTCTGGGGTATGTTTACCTATTACTCTGCAAATTTTTCTAGAAAAATGAATTACCTTAAAGTTACATGAAATTAGGATCAGTTTTTGCCCTGTAAAATTTTTTCTTAGTCTTCTCATTTTTTCCCCTCATAATGATATCATATGTAGGGATCGGAGCCCGCCTGTGTGATTTGAGGAATAGTAGAGGTTGATCACTTAATGGATTGCCATAATTCCTGGACAGTTTAATCAAGGCATTCTATATCTCTGTTAATGCTGATGTATTGCATTGAAGGTGCATCTGTGTCATAGTTAAATTAATTTATTGGGCAGGGTTACCAGCTAATCATTGAGAGAATGGATTACTAGACAGAATGAGTTTCAATTAAATAGAGATATGCTATCCAAAATGGTAGCCATGGCCACATATGACAGTCAAGCACTTAAAATATGGATAATTTGAATTGAGATGTGCTATAGTTGTAAATCACACATTGGATCTTTATAACAACAACAACACACAAGAATGTGAAATATTTCATTAAATGTTTTTGTATTGATTGCATGTTGAAGTGACAAAGTTTTGGATATGCTAAGTTGAATAGAGATATTATTAAAAACTGATTTTACCTGTTTCTTTTTACTTCAACGTGGCTATTATAAAATTTCAAATTATGTGTGGTTCACATTTGGGCTTGCGTTATGTTTCTATTGGGCTATGCTATACTAAATATGGAGAGTGGCCAGCCCTTGAAGAACTGATGTTTATGAAGGGGAGCATGGTATAACCCAGTAAGGGAGTAGGGAAGCAAAAAAAAAAAAACTGTAACAAAGAAGTGTTAGAAATTTGTCCTTTTTCACATTTTGCTACGAGTACAACTTAGTCCAAGAGACAAAAGGTAACTTACCTCGCCCAAGCTACCACTGTTGCAAATGCAACCTGGTAGTGGGATATATGCCTATGTATTTTCCCTCTATATCTGCAGTAATTGTAACTCAGCCACCAGCAGAATCTAGCTGACACCCAGTTGATGGTTGACCAGAAATCCCATACCTTTCTGCCGGCCGCCATGGTACCCTGGAGCTGAAAATGGGTGTTGAGAACACAGTCTCTCAGGAGGCTCTGAGAAGGGCTTGAGTGAAATGGGTTTGCTGTGATGTGACAGATGGGCTCTGAGCGGCTGAGTCAAGACTGGGAAGCTCAGGCCTACCTGATACTGGTACATCTGGATCTGCCCTTGAGGTCAGGCTTAGTGATGGCCTGGTCGTGATAGGCCTGCTTGGAATGGGTTTAAATATTGGCTCTGGGGTGCCTGGGTGGCTCAGCTGGTTAAGCGTCTGACTCTTGGTCTTGGCTCAGGTGGTGATCTCATGGTTTGTGGGATCAAGCTCCGCCTTGGACTCTGTGTTGACAGCATGGAGCCTGCTTGGGATTCTCTGTTTCCCTTTCTCTCTTCCCCTCCCCCACTTGTGTTCTCCCTCTCTCTCTTTCTCTCAAAATGAATAAATAAACATTAAAAAAATAAATATTGGTTCCAATTTCTTGCATGTTCCCTGTAGTCTTCAGAACTGCCTCTTAGGGTTGATCTGGATGGAGTCAGAAAACCCCACAGTGAATCTATATATACCCTAGTCTCTGCAGTTCGCGATATGCTTGGCTGATTTTCAACAGGGTGACAGAAGCCTCATTATGCTCGGTTCTATCAGCAAGGTGCCATGTACTCCCACAAGTATGAAGTTAGATTATTAACATACAGATATTCTCTCCAAGGAGATAAAATGTACTGAAATTTGCTCCTGTAGTATAAAGATGAGCCAACTGTTATTTGTACCAACCTATGACAAATTTTTAAAAAATTTTAGATGGGCTTCTCAGTCTCCAACTTTTTTGTTTCAGTTGGGTAAAGCAAGGACCATCTTACCAGCACAGTATAAATTTACTTGCTACTAGTTTCAGTTATCTATTGCTGTGTAACAAAGTACCCCCCAAAGCATAGTGGCTTAAAACAATAGCCATTTCATTTCTTAGGATTCTGTGCACCAGGAATTTCGTGAGGTCATAGCAAGAACAGCTTGTCTCCATTCCTTGGTCAGTTGAGATGGGTCAAAAGGGGCTGGCCAGGATGTCTTGACTACAGTCATATGACTGGAGCCACAGTTCTTGTTTTCAGCTGGATTTAATGGTTTTCTTCAACACGGTCTCTCCACGTGACTAGCTCAGACTTCCTTACAGTATGGTGGTCTCAAAGCAGTTGAACTTATTACATAAGTGGCTGGCTTAACCCAAGCAAAAACGGAAGCTATTAGGCCTCTTGATGTTTATTCCCCTATAAAGAGAGAAATGATCCTTGACATTCGGGAGCTGACCAGGCACTATCAGCTAAACCTAGGTGTTGCTAGGAGCTGTCCTGCACCACCTGGTGGACTGTGTTTTTTTTTTCCCCCCATTAAATATAAACATTTTCACTGAAGACTGAGATCAGTCAAAGTCATTCTGTACCCAAGATGGAGCAAGACAAAGAAAAAAGTCCGCTCCGTAGTCATGTCCAAAGGCAGACAAAAACAAGAACACTGTGGCTTATATGAGCGACTGCTGCTTCTTTACTAATTATAACATAAACTTTATTCCATTCTTTCTGCCTTCTAGATAAAAATGATGAAGATACCCAGTCATATAATTACCCCTGCTGCCTGACAGCATCCATTCCAGGGCGAAGTCCCACTTCCTGGAACGCTGTTTAAAATCACCTACCACAGACCCAGTCTCTACAATAAGGCCATTCTAACACCCTCTTGTTGAGACACTCCATGGCTCCCCCTGGTGTGCATTCTCTCTCATTGCAGCCAGTCAAAAAACCCAGTTTCATTGGGCGGCAGGTTTTACTCCTCCTGGTAGTCTTTGGCTAGCACTCCCATCGGGTACAATGTCCCTTCCATTGCATTATATTGGTTAAGGCAAGTCACAAAGCCGCCTCAATTCAAGGAGAAGGGAAACAGACTCCTCCTTCTTGTGGGTGGAGCAACGGGGCATACAAGGGACAGTGTGGCCATCTTTGGCAACAGAACTGTAGCACGTTCATTCATACTTTACAGAGAGCAGCTGAATCTTGAAAAATGTATGTGGGACACTGGCATTGCCACCTGCTTGAGCCATATTCTGTGACGAGGACTTGTTCAGCTAATGGATTCAGCCTCTCTTTACACTTTCAAAATACGACCTTCCTTCAGTGTTTTTGTTTTTGAAATAAGGGACGCTGCCTCCCATCTTTTCCTTCATCCAACATGCTCCGCCCCCCACTGACCTTCGACAGCAACTTCTTGTTCTGGGGCAACTGTTTCCCTGCTGGTCACCTTCTGGAACCCTGGGACAAACGCCTTCGTTGGTTGTGTTGCTGTTATCCCCACTGTGCCTTGGAGAATTGGTGGGACCAAGGCTGCTTTCCTTCCACAGCTCCGCCTGTCCCTCCCAGGCACCACCAGCTACAAGGTTGGTGTATGAAAGGGACTTCAGCAATGGTGACGTGTAGCACAGAGGGAAGGCTGTCAGCAGTGTGTGGCAGCTCGGCACCCATGTGGCCCTGGGGAGGGTCATCATCGTTCACCTCTCTCTCCTGCCCTCCTCCCCCAGTGGGAGAATGGACGCTTTCCGATAATTTCCCTTGTCGCCCCCTTCAGTCTACGTACATACAGCAATCATACGTCATGAATCACCCCAGGGTGAACTATGATAATCTGCTTGTGTAAGACTGTGGGTGTTTTTCTCTTCTTTTTGCTCATCTGTATTTTTCTACAATACAGTATTGTTTTTGTAATATGACAAAAAAAACCCAAACAAAACCAAGTCTCTTTTTAATTACAAACAAAAGAAGGGGATCTAAACAGAGAACCCTAATGATTCAGGTGTTTGGAACGACTTTCCCCAGGAGTCTGAAATTTCTCATTACTTTGTGTTTAACCTTGCCAGCGAGTGTTTAGAATGCAGTATGGAAGGAGACAGTGCATTTTTTAATGTAAATGCTTAATGACTTTTTCAATACTTTTCGGACACGTGGTCAGAGAGCAAGTCCTAATAAAGACATGAGGTGTTGCCCGACTTAGTAATCAATGTAGTTAGTGAGCAACTTGAGGAAGAAAAGAGGTGACTGTGTTGGCTGCCAGCAGTGGCAGAGATAATACTCTGGAGACTCAGAAAACGGCATCGTAGGAGTTGTCCGTGGAGGCAAGATAAAAATGAGGTCATCTTATAATAAGATCCTGCAGAGACTTCACCGTGGACAGAGTTCTATAAAGCCCCAACTCAAAACAAATTCTCCTGGAGACAAGAGATGTCCTGCTTCTACTGCTGAATGCCTTTTCCTGGCACATGGTCATTGAACTTCAGGGTGATGAAATGAGAACACAGGAGCGATTAGTACACATTCTGTCAGCACAATAAAAAGGGGCATCATGACGGTTTCCTCTCAAGTACCTTGCTTTTTACTCACTTTGTCACTCATTTGCTTTTTCACTTGCAGGTAATAAGGTGGAATGAAGGGGGTAAAGGCTAAGGATGGAGGTTTCCTAGTTTAGGAACTCACAGAGGCACCTACCGCGTGCCTCGTCCTGGGCTATATGCTTTCCCATCGCTGGGAAAGACTTACGACAGCAATAATAACAACAACCATTTTTGATGCCTGTTGTGTGCCAATGTTGTGCTGTGTCCATTAGGATATTCAGGCCTTAAAACAACTCTGGGAGGTTCGGGCCAGTCCTAGTACCTCTTCTTTTCTAGATACAGTGACTGACACTCAGGAAGTAATTTACCCAAGGCCGCATAGCTAATATGAACCCATTCTAGGACATTAAACACAGCATTAGGGTCTCTTTACCCTCAGTCTTGGGGTATTTCCATTAACTTCATTGTGGTATCTCCTTGATTTGGATTATTAAACGTGCTTTGTTGTTGTTGTTGTTTTTGTTTTGCTCTGAGCAAGTGATATTTGCTGTTTTCATTTTGATTTTCTACTTGGGAGCCAATCTTTTCCTGGTGCGAATGTGGTAAACAGATTACAGTGATTACAACAAAATCCTCCTATAATGCTCTTAAGTTTTCCCTCATCCTACACTGATCTATTAAATATCTAGCCTCATGCAAACCTAGGCAGTGATTCTCTCTCATAGTGTTTTACTACTTATTGAATTTTCTCTTCTTGATCCTTGGGGCCCATGTTGTAAAGGAGCATCCACAGCAATCCGTTAGTGGGAACAAAACCCCTGAAGGTATGAAGGGCCACGCCATTTGGTATTGGTCTGACATTTTTTTTTCCCCCCTGGAATTCTCTTCCATGAATGATGCAGTTTGAAACAAATTCCCTCATAGTGAGATATCTAGGGAAGCTCAGAGGAGAGCAAAAAAATGATGAAATGTTTTCAAAATAAGACCCTGGAGGAAGAGGTAAGAAACCAAACGTGTTCAGCCTTGTGTCAAGAAGACGTAGGGGAGAAATAACTATAAACGTGCATGCTGATGTAGCGGACAAAGTAAAAGGCAATTTGCCTCGTTACAAAGGAGGGCAAACGAACAAGGAAGGGGGCTAAGTTATGGTAAGGAAATTTTAGTTTGAAATATGATATTCACGCATACTGAGGTAGCTTACTGAAGATTCTATTTCTACCCATTATCACTACCGGCGGTTTCCAATGTATTTACCCCATATACGCACACTTTTGTATCAGGTTGACTGTGGCAGCACATAATGACTGGCGGTGGGATGCAGGGAAGGGGATTCTTGTGTAAATGGACAACTATGGTCTTGTCTTGTACCCAGCTTGAACAACTGAGCAAGGGTCAGTGTTTGACTGGTTTGTAACTCCTATTTTATGGCTATAGGGCCATTTTCATCTATTTGGAAATTTATTGTGCTTCTGACATCATCATCATCATCATGATCATAATCATAAACATTTACTGAACGCTTCTGAAAGTCAGGCGTTGTGCCAATGAGTGCCTCCCATGCATTTATTCATTTGCTTCTCACGATAGGCCTGCGAGGTAGGAGTTATTGTTACTCGACACACCCCTGGCACTGGTTTCCTCACCTGAGAAGTGTGTTTCATAGTCATGGTGCAGCTGAGGGCATGAGGAGTACAGTAAAGCCTTGGATTGTGAGTAACTTGCTCCGCGAGCGTGCCAAAGACGAGCAAACCTTTCTAACACATTTTCACTTGATAAATGAGTGATGTCTTGCAGTACGAGTAGTACGTGACGCAGGACGTCCCATGATCACCACTGAGCCAATGGTTCTTGAAATTCTCTTTGATACACGAGTGCTTTGGATGACAAACAT